TTTTTTAGTTGACAAGAGAGGCATAATAATAATAAAAGTGTTGTTGAAGTGGAAAAGACTAAAGTAATAAATTATGTCATGCTTGATAGCCTTACATCATGTAACGAAATACCAAAATGTTATTGGACGAAAAAAAAGCTGGAATTAATTTTTATTTTGCTGGAGCAAAAAGTGCTCCAGCAAATTTAAGAAATCACAAAAAGAAATCGGAAAATGCTTGGCCAATAGAATTTATCTAAAATTTTGCTGGAAGCTGGAACCTGGAGGCTGGATTTTATTTGAGCGTCCCTAATGTTGGTTCCGTTCTATTTTGTTTCACCTGATTATTTTGATCAAATCTGAGCAATGGTTGCAAAGCATTTCGTATGTATTTTCTGTCTTCTTGGCCGATTATAAAATATTGTTTCAATAACATCATCCGCGAGAGTTTAGTGAAAAAGTCAAAGGTCTGAAAATTAGGTAATAATCTTTTAAAGCCGTTGGTATAGATAAATAAATTCAATACCGAATTGGGATTTTGAACCATCCACTTTATGAACGGCTGATGTTGTAGGAATATTTGGATTTCCGTTGCGCTGATGACAATGTATTGGCACTGCATCCTTCTAGTTCTCGCAGTGAATATTGTATTTAACTGAATATGCGCACCCACTTTAAAATTGACCTTCAAGAGTACCCTTTTTAAATAAATAAAGCTTCTCATACTACAGCTATATCTTGCCGTTTTGTAATCCCTTTATACTTGTTTTTATCGGTAGTGTTATTTATTGGCTCATCGGCTAGTTACAATTGACAAACACACGGTACTTATTAATTTAATCTAAGTTTGTCCTCAGTCCCAACGTCGAACTTATACTAGACGCGGAATTGCAATTGTAACATTTCGAAAGACGTTGTAGGATTATTAAAGGAATAAAACTCTCGTCGGAGTGGTCTTATGAGGTTAAGACGTAGATTTTTAGAAATGTTTATAAGTATCTTAACGAATTTTAAATACTATATACCTATAAATTATGAGAAATTTCAACGAAGGTTTAATAAATGTTTTCTTTTATAGATAACATTCCGCTTTTCATAGGACAAAGAATTGTGGAAAAAAGAGCCAAGTTTCAGAATCCTAATGAATTAGACAATGTATCTGATCAGGAATAATTTTTTGGAGGTTAAGTGTGTGGAAGCTCGCAGAAAGTATGAAAGATAAATGTCATGGATCGACCATTCGTCCTGACTCATATACTAATTATTAACGTAATCAAAAAATTTCTTTCTACAAAACATAAATATGTATAGCAGGTTTTGTTAAATTTGGTATAGTACCATTTACGTGTTACTCATACAATTTGGGTTTAAAATAATGAATCAAAAATAAAAATTAATTTTTCGTTCTTTTCTTTTCGTTTCTTTTCCGAAACTTTTCAGATCAAATGAACACCCAAACTGCGATCTCCATTCGTAGCCCCTCTCCAATTGCAATGGAGAACGAGATTCAAGATGATGGTCATCATGAAAACGTCCAAAATGACAAGAATACCGGAGATGCCCAAGCTATTCAGAATGATTTGCGTCCTTCGGTAGCACCTTTTAAAGAGGTCCAGAAAAATTTCTCTAAGGCCGAGGACCTGCAGATCTGTCGATCATATATCGCCTATTGCATTGATCCAATTTCTGGTACAGAAAAAAAGGGCAACGTGTTTTGGGATGATATCGGCCAACACTTCAATGAATCATTAAGTGAGGATGACTTTGTATGTCATAGAACACCCGACAGTATCAAAACTAGATGGCTGAATCACATTCAACCTAAGACATTGAAATTCTCTGGATATATGCGAAGCACTACCAATAAAGCCAGTGGTTCAAACTATGCTTACGACGTGAGTGCAATATAACAAAACATGTATCTAATTATGGTAATTAAGCGCAAAATTTAAAGTATCATTCGCAAGTAAACTTTATAGACAAGCACGCCGCAATGAAACATTTGTTTTCATGGAGTGCTATGAATATTTGAGTGCTTTTGACAAGTGGAATCCTGAACCCACAAAGCGAATCAATAAGTCATCCTTGGAGAACTCCAGCCGCAGCAGCAGCAGCGAGCGTCCTGAGGGAAGAAAAAGATCAAAAGTCTCTAAGGTCGCTTCTTCAGTTTCTGCCGGTAATCAAGACGAATTCAAATGCTTGATGGATGAATTGACGGCAATGCAGAAGAAGTCCGATGAGGCGCAGAAAAGCGAGCTGAAAGCCTCAGACTTGAGTTCGAAAAGGAAAGAGGATGGAAGTTGATGACAACTGATCCATCAAATATCACGGACCCCCAACATCGATCATGGGTACAGCAACATCAGATCGCGATTATGAAAAAGAGTAATCCTGAATATGACTTGATTTAATAAATGTTTATTTTTATTAAAGATTCTCCTAGCATCATCCATTGATGGTCAACAAGGTCCTTTTGATGTTGAAGATGCATAGGACGATCCATAGTGCTCCTCCATTTTTCCAAAAACTGCTCAGGGAGTCCCCATCTACTTCTCTAAGGGGACTGTACGAGAAAGGGTCAGTTCTCAAATTGCTGATACTTTCCAATTCTTCTTCTTTGTCCCTTTGAAATTCAATGATCATATTGTGCAAAATGATACAAGCCATCATGATTTCTTGGATATCGTCTTTATCCCAACCCATTGCTGGTGTAGCGACGATATTAAAACGTTGATGAAGTATACCAAATGCACACTCAACATCCTTTCGAACGTTACCGACATTACCGGTAAATTTCTGTCAAAAAAAAAATTAAAATGTGCATTAATAATAGTTGCTGTTGATACGAACCGATTCTTTTTCGTTGGATGGATTTCTATGCCCTTTGACAAACGCAGCATATTGAGGGTAAATACCATCAGTGAGGTAATACCCCATATTGTATTGATGGCCATTTATACTAAAATTGACATGAGGTCCTTGACCGTTAGCTACATCTTGGAATACGTAAGAGCGGACAAGGACGTTGATGTCATTCAAAGACCCAAGAAAACCAAATAAGGCATGCCAATCCAGCGGTCCTTGGAAGCGACAGCTTCAAGGATGGTCGTAGGGACCTTCTCTTTGCCCTTGTACATCCCATGCCAGCCAGTGGGACAGTTTTTCCACTCCCAATGCATGCAGTCCAAAGAGCCTAGCATACCAGGAAATCCTCTCTCTTAATTTTCTTTCAGGATTCGTTTTACATCTTCATTCGTAGGTGATCGAAGCTATTCCTCCCCGTACAATCGAATAATGGCCTTGCAAAAATGGCGCAAGGCATTTCTATCGGTGGACTCGGCCATTCCATATTGATCATCCAACATATCTGGTGGAACACCGTAAGCAAGTTGGCGAACATATATAGCCATTTTAAGAAGACCTGAAATGCTTGATCTCCGAGTTGCATCATTCTTCTGCTTAAAATAGTTATCCTTCTTTTCCAAATCACCAAGTATTCTCAAAACCAATTCCTTATCCATTTAAAACGACGACGAAAATAAGTGTCTGGATAGGTAGGATTCTCGGCGAAGTATTGCTTAAAGTGTCTTTCGTGCTCCCCTTCTCTGTCCCGATCAATATATCTCTTTTTCTCTTTGACAACCAGTACTGTCTTTCTCTTTTTAAATGCTTGCAATAAAATTTTTTTATTACGATCTAATTCCAATTGTCTTTGCTTTTCTTCATCCTCAAGGAATTGCGCCATCATGTCAGGCTTATTCATGTTTACAAAAGTTAAAGAAAAAAATCAATGTAATTATTTTTTGACCGCTGCGGACTCATTAAAAAAAGGACTACATTTTTAATCCGACCGGAAAATGACCCATTTATTCAGTGAAACTTTTAGTGAACCGCTGAGGATGCTCTTAATAATTAGGGTTTACTGCAAATATTTGGATGTTGTAGTTGTTGGGATACGTTTTTGAATCAAGAAATTGCTGCAAAGCGTATCAATTCACGAGTGTGCACAGATAATAACAATTACATTATGCATCCGCCGTATTGACCAATTCCACGCATCTGATAGGGCCAAATTCTTTGAACGTCCTTCGTCACTAGGCTAATTACAATGAAATGGCGGTTAGGTCTCTGCAGTCCAATCGATTCCCGGGATACACAGATCATCCAGAAGGTTACCGTTCACAATTCTTCTGGTGCTCCAATCTGTTGTCCATTTGTACCTCAGTCTTTTCGTGGATGGGATACGGAGGAAATATGCTTCTTTGTCCCGATATCGAAGCTTATTGATGCATTCATTAATTAGTATGATCATAAGATTAGGGATGAAATCGAACAATTGATCTCGTCATGCATTGTAATTGCAAGTCGTGCTTGTGTTATGAACAGCCTACGATTCAGTTGCATATAATCATGCAAAATGTCTCAGACCATTATTGAAACCCAACTAGCCCATTTTCCCTGTTTCACCTGTTCCATGTTCTCTGTCTCCTGTCACACACGTCACTGTCTAATATCACTATTGAATCCTGTTTAACATCTCTTTTCCAAATAATGTATCTCTATTATAACTTGTCCTTGTAAAACCCATTTAATATCCGTTCCCTTTGTACCTCTGCATTATAAATCGCTTGAAACATTAATGATCACAGCCTATGTTATTATCTGTATCTATCCTCGAAATTATCTCTATCTATGCCCACTCCCCCAATGATGACCTAAACTCATCATGACTAATAAACCGTCTTTGGAAATCGGATCCCCGAACCCTTGTATTCCCGATCTGCCAATTAATATAAATAACAGCATATTTATTTAATCTTATTTCGGTATTCAAGAACTTGGCTACTTTCCTGCTTCTTTGAATAAACTTTTTTCTACCTTTATTCCTTTTGTATATATATTAATACTAATAGATATATAATTTCTTTTTGTCCTGTCCTCAACTTAATAATCATTCTGTTCTGCTCTTACCCCGGCAGCTCCTGATAGTTTAGAACGATTATTTTGTATTTGCCTTAATTATGGACAAAACATTCAAAAGCTTGACGACAAGGCCAAATTATATCACCTATTTACGGCTTCCAAAATTACTGGTCACAGGTAAGAAAAAGAAGTTTGACAAACGTTATTGATACTTACAGCATAAAATTTAGATCTAATTCCCTTTGGTTTGTCGTTGTGGTTCACTACTACTTCAAACACAAGGAAGAAGGTGATGAAGCATCAGCAGTTCGACGCTCTCAATGTTTTGACAGTTTCTCCGAATTCGAGGTGTGACAGATACAAGAAGGACGCTGTTAATTCCATTACAGACATTCTTCAAGTCCTTAGGCTTGTACGGTATTCCGATTCCGCTAGTAATGACAAGGTTGTTTGGCCTTACATTAAGTATACTGACAAGGTTGATCATCGTACTCCTGGTTCTTTAGGTGATTCGTAAGTTAGTCGTATCATTCACTGTTTTGCGCAGACAAGGTTCCTTGTAATTAAACACTCTTCAACGATTCATCTAATGTAGTGACTACTATTTTATATAATCTGATGTGTTAATTGGCAATCTGTTAAATGGCAATGCTTGTAAAAGAAAAAATAAATAATTAAAAAACTACATTACGATAATTGTGAATTTTATCCACCGTGTTACGGGTTTCCACTACCGAGTCCGCTGCTGAGATTGTGGCTTATGTATTCTATGAAATATCATACCGAAAAAATGGCGTCATCAGTTTTCACGGGGGGGGGGGTTAAATTGTAGGAATCGGGAAGGACATTTTTATTTTTTTTCTTTCCTGTCTTCATAGTTATTCTTAAAAATGATGCAAACTATGGCTTTTTATCCGTAAGTATTCCGTACTCTAGTCATTTCGAGACATTACCAATGGCTAATGTTGTCATTTTACAAATTAACTAAAAAAAACCATTGTATTCTCTTTTTGCTCTTCTTTATTAGTGCCTTCTTTTCTTCTGCCCTTCTCGTTTCGTCGAGAAAAAGAAAGCTCTTTTCGGTTTCTCTTCGCTCTTCGGAGCAAGAGAAAACCGTCAAAAAACAAAAATTGTTTTCTCCCCCTGTTGTTGGTCGTCGTGTCCGCCTCTGTGTGGCACCGCCACGTGGTTCTCGTGCTCGTCGTCTTCGCCGTGCGGGTATCAGTCCTCGTCCTCCCTTGGCTCCTGCGTGCGGCCCTCTTTCTCCCATGTCCTTTCCTGTTGCGGCTTCCCCTCGGATGAAGGAGACAGAAAAGCGAAAACGCTTTTCTGTCTCGATCTCGTCATCCGAGGTGGAACGCCCAACTAAAAAAATAAAATTTTAATTTAGTTGTTTATTTAAATTTGCCCAACCAATGTTTGAGTTTTATGATAAGAACTTTATTCCAGTTAAACCGGAGATAAGAATTATCACAGAGTTTAATAGTATTTTCAATACATTATCGGGGTCCTTTTTTTCGAATTATATACAAGAATACCTTTAAGCCGCTTGTCAATTTTTTTTAATTGCATTGGGTTTTCTTCTTTTGTTTTGAATTGACTGGATTAGTGGCACCTGATGTTTCCAATAGATTACAGGGAAAATATATCAGTTGCTTTTTGCTCTTCCCAACCATCTTTGCGAACGATGTTCTTCTAGTTGCTTGATAATGAGTTTAAAATAAAAATCAATGATTTTGCAATGATCATCTCACATTTTATGACCCTATTATTTTTTATACGGAATTCAATTTTATACTCAAACTTTAACCTACATCAGTCAGCTTTTTATATCCTTTGGCATGATTCACATAAGTTATAAACAACCTTTGCCATTGCCTATTCTTTTATGTCATTTCTTGTTTTCTTTCTGTATAGATATAGAGTATAAACTTCAATTCTTTTAGAGATATATTTCATAAAAATGTTTTGTTCTATTACCATCCTTTTTCCGAAGAAATAACTGCTTTTAATAAGCTATTCAATCTGTGTTCAGTCCTGCACGTGTTGCTACTACTTCTTTTTGAGGGATGAGGGTATTAGGTAATCTTCCAGAAAAATCTTCAACAACGAAGAATATTGTTTCTAGATGGCTGTTTGCTCGATTTTTTTATTTGCTGACATAATATCGTTCTTTCTATTTACCATCAGTTTCTGTTAGTTATATTTTGTTTACTAATCCCTGTTGGGACGGTGTAAACACATTGAAGGAAATATAAGAGATGCTTAAATTTCATCTACAAGAATATTGTCTTTTCCCAATAAAACCTTTCAAACGATAACGAAATCCTGGCATAGTGTACTACATTAATAATTGTGGTTATTAGGTGTCTCTTTTTTCACTATGTGTCATTGTAACAAATTGTTGGAAGACGACAGTATTTGTAGGCTCTAAATTCATCTACAGTGACGATGACGAACATCAAAGTATTGTTGTTTTAGCCATATTTACCGTAGTCGAATTACGTTACACCATCATAATCCATAATAATTGACATTAGGGACGCTCAAATAAAATCGAGCCTCCAGGTTCCAGCTTCCAGCAAGTTTTTTCTTTGTCCGATGTCCAATAAAGATTTGCATAAAAAACTATAAACTTGAATGATATTTTTTTGTGTCCAGCTTTTAGATTCCAAACTTTTACTCAGAATAAGATTTGATTGGAGGAGGTCCTGAACATGATGTAATGAATCAATGAGGAACGTATGATGAAAGATAGTAGAGAAAGATGTACTAGAAGATGCCTTATGTCATTACAAAGTATAATTTTTGGCTCCCGATATGATGATGAGTGTTATATAAAAAAAAAAAACGTAGCGGATTGTCCTTCATTTCATCTTAAATATCACATAAAATTTTAAAAATGAACCAAACACCTGTCAACATTCAGCCTAGACCTCAACAAACTGAGGAACTGGAAACAACTCCACGTCTGTCTGCAGCTACCCCTAGAACCCCAGGGAAGCTCCACGACTAATAGTCGTCCTGGTGTTACAGACAAGATCCCGAATGCAAAGAGCTGGATCAATGACTTCGATAGTAATGGCAAGTGCTCAAAAGATATTGTGGTTGAATGGATGCTAGTAGGAGATAATTGGAGTAAATTCAGCGGATGTGAAAGTCAAAAACCAGGTGAAGCCGAAAGCCAAACAGGTATGGCGAAAAAGCTGGCCCAAATCCTCGTCAACAGAGGACATCGTGAAAGAACCACAAAAAGTATCATAGAGACGATTAGATATTTGAAAAAATCGTTTACCGCTACTTACAAGACGGTAACCGCTACTGGATATGGTGTTGATCCTGCTGTTGATGGTACTGTCACTGTTGAAGGTAAGAAGAAAACTACTAACTGCTAACTATTATACCGTTAAATTTGTTTAACTTACTATATCTAAACTTTCAGAGAAAACCACTCATTTGTTTAAGTGGTATTATGATCTTCTCCCTTTACTTGGCTCGGATCCACTTGTAACTGGTGAAGGAATGCAGTCGAATGGGAATATCGTCAGTGGGACTCCTGATTTAAGTGCGTATGATGAACAGCCTGATCATGAAGACGATGTTCATTCAACCAACATGGATGATGTTGATGATGTCAACTTGGATGATGATGATGATGATGATGATGATGATGTTTTGCCCCTCTCTTCCACTAGACCACCTTCGCCTAGACAAAGTAGAGGAAAAAAGAGGAGTCTCAATGAGTGCATTACCGACTTCTTTGAGAGACAAAGAAAAGCATCTAAGAAGTATGAAGATCGCGAGGACGAGCTATTGGAGTTTCAAAGAGAAAAGAGGGATGACGAGAGAGTAGCAATGATATTCGAGAGACAAAAGCAATGGCTGCTTTTGAATAAAGAACTTCGAAACGAAGAAAAAGGATCTGAAGGATATGAAACCATAAAGAAGTTTATGGAAGACCTTGCAGATTATTAACCTATTTTTTTTTTAAATAAATGTTTATTAATTTTGAGCGTTGTTATACAATATATCATTCTTCAACTGATTTCTTCTGAAATTTAAACTACTATCATCATCTGACCTATTCTGCGAACTACTGATGAATCTTCTATGTCCACTGGCCTCTCTGAACTCCTCTATGTCAGTTGAATCTTCTAAAAGGAAATTATGCATAATGCAACAAGCACGAATCCATCTTCCCGCTTCGATCAAAGTTTTCCTGTCACGAATTGTAATACGAAGCTCTTGAAGGCTTTGGAACTTTCCTTTCAGAATTCCATTGCAATGTTCAATTGCGATACGAGTTTGAGCTACATACAAATTAAATTTCTCTATTTCTTCTTTTGTAGCCTGTACTGAACCGGTTCTGTATGATGAGATGACAGTCGAGGTAACACTGTATGCACTATCAGCTAATATATATTCACCAGGGGAGAAATGTCTATGTGGGGATTTGGCCAGACTTGTTGCTTGATAAACATTATTATCATGAATAGCACCAGGACATCCAGTGACACAAACACGAATTCTTCGTTTGTGATCACAAACGAGCATTGTAGAGATACCATACGCACGTTTATAAGAATAAAAATTATTCTTGGCATAGCTGGGACTACGCTCGGTTCTTATAAATGTACCATCGACAAATCCGACGCATGACTTGAAGTGGCTTCTTTCGCCTATCTTCTTTGATATATGTTCCCTTTCTTCTGCCGCTGGCCAGTAAACATACTGATCTTCTTTAGCCAGAATTGCATTTATGGTTCTCTTGGTGTAATTGATCACAGTACCTTCTACTTTTAATGTTAGATCATAATAAATCTGAGCGTTTTTTTTTGTCATACCAGAAACACCAAAGTAATCGGATACCTGCGTGATTGAAGCAGCATTTCCTTTACATCCCAATCGATGAAAAGTGATCAAGAAATGGAGCTCAATTTTCTCTTTCGTGAAGTTCTCGAACTCCTCATAATCACCAAACGCTCTGACTGCGTCTTTGAAGGCTTCTTTACTCATCCTTATTTTACTTTTAAAGACACTTTCTCTACCTTCGTTTAATAAATCGAGATATGTGCCAGTACGAATACGAGTACCCCAGTTTTTTTTTACGCTGTATCTTTCGGTTTGTAAAGCAAGGTAAAAAGCTGCCATTGTTTCCAGATTCTGTTTTGTCATTGCGATTATGCGACGATCTACTTCGGTCGACTTGGTTTCTCGTTCATATTTTGTAATGAAGAAAAACAGCATTTTTTTAACGTCTTCCATGAGACGTTTTTTAGTTGACAAGAGAGGCATAATAATAATAAAAGTGTTGTTGAAGTGGAAAAGACTAAAGTAATAAATTATGTCATGCTTGATAGCCTTACATCATGTAACGAAATACCAAAATGTTATTGGACGAAAAAAAAGCTGGAATTAATTTTTATTTTGCTGGAGCACTTTTTGCTCCAGCAAATTTAAGAAATCACAAAAAGAAATCGGAAAATGCTTGGCCAATAGAATTTATCTAAAATTTGCTGGAAGCTGGAACCTGGAGGCTCGATTTTATTTGAGCGTCCCTAATGTGTTAGACGTTAAATCAGTGAATTATCCAATTATATTTGGGGTTCTTTAATTTTTGTAAGAGACGAAATATTTGAGTAATCAACTGTGTATTGTCTTGCTTGTGCAAAATGAGAATTTGTTCAATATGGTACTGTAGAGAGACAAGTGTTATTATTTTATAGACTGGAACTCGAAGCGAACAGTAATAACCTTTGGTTTAGGTGCAAATCATACTCTCTGTGGTATTTGACAAATATAATACACTAGACAAATAATGAGATAAAAGTATATCTGTATTGGAGGTAAAAATAGGCTGAAAAAAACTCTGCTGCTATGAAGTATTTGATCCTTTTGTTATTGGACAACTGTCTTGGGCTTTCATGATGAGTCAACTTTTCTGGTCTTAGAGTAGATCCATACTTTTTTTCCTGTCTTGGGTTAAATGAATACCACCAAGGCTATAATGTCTCGCCTGATTCGTCCATTCGGACGAATGTTTAGTAAGTGTTTACCTATTTACTAAAAAAAACGAATTGGGTAAATTTACCCATTTACTCGTTTGGACAAATTTATAGTAAGCGTTTACCCATTTACCCAAAAAAAAAAAAAAAAAAAAAAAAACAGGATTAAATGCATAATTAAGGGGGTGTATATTTTAAAATAAGCTCTCCCTTTCAGCCTTCAGCCAAATAAAAAACTTTCGTTCATACATATTGAATCATTTAATACATTCATTCGTTTGAAAAAATTGGTTTGCAGTTTTAAAAGTTGATTATATATTTTATTAAAAAGAATGAAATAATGATTTATTTATATCTGGGTATTTGAGGACAAATTGCTA